TTCTGCAGCACTGCCCACCCCCACATTTCCCACTCTCCTCTGGACCCCAGCTGAGTGAAGGATGTGTTGGCATGTCCTATTGCCACAGTGACAACCCTGTGGGTGATGGAAAAGGGAGTGTGTGATACAACTTCCGTCTAGGGGCCATCATTTCACAGCACGCTCTCAGCCTATAGTTACTGTCCTACACTGCACTTTCCCATGGGTCTCCAGTTTCCTGCTTTGAGTGGTACTGGAAGGGACCGCTCTGGGGAGCTCCTTGGACAGCAGACACAGTGGGTACCTTGTGGTGGAAAGGCTCACACACCCACTGGGCTTTGCGCTTCTCAATCTGGCTCTACAAAGAAACTGTGAACCAATTTTATCCTCCAAATCTGAAACAGGAACTGAATGGGCCTCTAATCTGGTCTCTGAAACAGGAAGCAGGAGATAGGTCCATAGCCACCAGAGGAGAACTCCCAGAAGGTCGGCACCAGTCAAGGCCACTGGTGAGACAAGACTACTTCGAAACAGGTATCAGTTGGAACCAGCTCACACTACCAACTCATGCATGTCTCAAGCCCACTAAAGATGTCCAAGTGAAGGGAAGAAACAGGGATCCCAGGAGCCTAGGAGGCAAGAGCAGTCACAACAATCTGCAGCTGACTACAATCTGGAGTAAGAAATGAGTGCTCTAAAAACAAATCTATGTTGGGGGCTTTGGAGTTTTCTTTTTAGTTCTGTTTTGTTCCAATTTTCTAGTAAAGCTCTTTTTGGAAAATTATAATTTGGCCTCAACTGACCAGTTATCTAAGAGCAGAACAGGGAACAGTGGTCTGCGCTGGCACAGGGTGGGCAGCAGCTGCCCCACTGGTGTGCTAAGCAGAAAGTGGAAAGCTCAGAGAAGAACCACCTGTGGAGTCTCAAAATCCTGTCCTGGCCAGAGTTTTTCCTAATAAGCATATCTATGTTTATTCTGTAGCTAATCTGACTCGGGCTTGTTTCGCACGGGAAGAAGTGGAGTCACTGAGAGAAGGGGGCTGTAAGGTGGTTTCCCTCAGAGGTTCTCAAACACCACTCATACTTGGCATGAAAAAGTCTTCACTCAACAGACACTTTGAGATTCGATAGCTGTTTACAGCCCTTGTCTCCACTGCTGAGCAATAGTGTTTGCTGAACTCTTTACTTAGTGTAGGGTTAACCTTACGAGCACATACTAAACTGAAAACAGATCTTTGTTAAAATTAATAGTGGGAATAGGAGAGGGAGGAGAAGGATTGCACTATGTTCCTAAATCTATAAATATGAAATACATGAAACTTGTATACCATAAATAAATTTTTTAAAAAAGAAACAAAAAAAAGTTTTTACTCATTCCTGGAGAAAATGGGAAAAATGAATAATAAATAGTGAGTTTTCCCACGTATTTCCTATATACAAAGAGCTACCCTTTCTTCAAAGGTTATACACCTCCTATATTCCTAACATGAAAAAAGGTCTTGCCTTTCATGAAATCAAGGCAATAGGTTGCTAAGTTTTTCTTTTTCTCTATTTATAATATTTGGAAAAGCTGGAATGTTGGCATTGCATGTATCAGTCCTTTGGATTTCTTTTAATGGGTTCATGAGAATCACAACTTAGGAAATGAAGACTTCCCCCTCTCTCACAATGTCTACGAGACATTATTTACAACAGCTTCACTGGACTTGAAAGGAGAAATGCAGAAGTGGTCTGCAAGACTTTCAGGAACTTCTCAGGCTGGTGTGGACGCAATGCAGAGGCTGTGCGTTGTCTCTTGTGTTCGCCAGTGAGCTGAAGCGAGGAAAGGTCAGGTGCCTCTCCTCTAAAATGCTCTACGTGGTGACTTTCATCACGAGCATAAGTCGACGGCGACATTATCTGGATGAAAATAGAAAAGCTTACAGCTTCAACTTTCAACTAGCATGAGCTTCCTTCCCATTCCCCACTGTTGCTAGACCATGAGGGGTTCACAGAGAGACTGCCACCTGCAGTGAGCCAGGCCAAGAGGAAGACCCAGGCGGATGTGATGGCTGGTCAGGAAAAGGGGAAGTGGACAGCCAACCTAACCCAATCTAATCTGGTGCCCACGAGAAACAGCAAGCGAGTGAGAGAGCGAGCGAGAGAGCCTTGGACCAAGTAAGGTCCCAGGGTTGCACATCAGCAGGAAGTCTAGGACCACAAGTAGTTGGGAGGGGAAGAGGGCTGAAAGAGGTGAAAGTGTGCATGGGTCCCCTGCTGGCATGGCCTCCCCCACTCTGCATCCTTCTCCCTGCAGCCTCCCAACCCTTCTTTTGTCCTCAACATCATCACAGCCCCCAACCATCACTGCTACCAATCCCACTTGATGCTCCTCCTACATCTGGCCAAGATGCTACCAAAAACAACAAAGCCAAGGTCGCTCGTCTAACAGAGACTGTTGGGTGCAAGGGCCAAGTTTTAGGTTTCAGAAACACAACTGTCCTAAATGTTGAACACAGCTGAGCGTGGTCCCTACACTGAAAAACAAGGCTGGTCCCACAGGTTAGTCCCAGAATCTAACCACCACACCAGTACTGTTTCTAAAGAAAGCACGCTCCTGGGTCTAAGCAACAACACTAAACCATTTACCCTGAAAGAATGAATGAATAAAGCCTCATCATGGTTCAGAGTTTTCATAAACAAAATGACATAATCAAGAGGTCTAGTCAGCTATATTCACAAAATTGATGCTCACTCACAAAGTTTTTTGTTTTATTTTATTTTTGGGAAATTCTTCCACCTGTGCAGAGCAACCCTGGATCACTGACGTCTCATGGCTTACACAGAACTGGACTGCCTATGATGCAGAGGGCCAGGAAGGGGTGCTGTTAGCCTGGCATTTGCCATCTCTGAAATACAGTCCCTTGCACATGTAAATAAGACAAATTTCCATAAAAGCATCAATAGCAATAGTTTCACCTCAGAAAAGGGAATGAAAGAATGACAAATGTAGTCAAAGAACTAGAATATAGCTACATAATAATCAAACATGGAAAAATGAGCGAGAATCTTTAACAGCAATTTACACTTTAAAAAGACACCAGTGGGGCAGGTGTTTGGCCTGCTGGTTAAAGACACCAATAAGATGCCCGCATCCCACTTTAAAGGGCCTGAGTTCAAGGCCTGGCTCTGGCTCTTGACGGTAGCATGCAGACCTTGGGGAAGCAGCAGTGGGAGTTCACCACCCATGTGGGAGACCTGGGTTGAGTTCCTGACTGCTAATTTCATTCCCTGAGTTCTGGGTATTCGGGGTATGAACTAACGAAGAAAGCACCCCTACCCTTCTTCTCTGCCAGCTTCTCAAAATATAACTTTTTTAAGATTTTTTTTTGAAAAGCAGAGTTACAGATAGGGAGAGACATCAAGGAGAGAGATGGGGCAGGGGCACATCTTCCATCAAATAATCACAATAGCTAGGGATTGGTCAGGCTAAAGCCAGAAGCCAGGAACCCGATCTGGTTCTCCCACAGTGGTGGCAGGGGTTCAAGCACTTCAGCCATCTTCTACTGCTTTCATAGGCACATTAGCAGGGAGTTGAATCAGAAGTAGAGCAAGGGCCGGCACTGCAGCTCAATAGGCTAATCCTCCACCTACGGCACCGGCACACTGGATTCTAGTCCAGGTCGGGGCGCCAGATTCTGTCCCAGTTGCCCCTCTTCCAGGCCAGCTCTCTGCTATGGCCCGGGAGTGCAGTGGAGGATGGTCCAAGTGCTTGGGCCCTGCACCCACATGGGAGACCAGGAGAAGCATCTGGCTCCTGCCTTCAGATAAGCGCGATGCACTGGCCACAGTGCAGCGGCCATTAGAGGGTGAACCAACGGCAAAGGAAGACCTTTCTCTGTCTCTCTGTCCATTCTGCCTGTAAAAAAAAAAAAAAAAAAAAAAAAAAAAAAAAAAAAAAAAAAAAAAAAAAAAAAGTAGAGCAGGGACTGGCTCCACGGCAAAGTAGGTTAATCCTCTGCTTGCAGTGTCAGCATCCCATATGGGCACCAGTTCTAGTCCTGGCTGCTCTTCTTCCAATCCAGCTCTTTGCTGTGGCCTGGGAAAGGAGTAGAAGTGACTGCTTCCCTTTTTATGTTTTTGACAGGCAGGGTGAACAGTGAGAGAGAGAGATAGAGAGGAAGGTCTTCCTTTACCGTTGGTTCACCCTCCAATGGCCACTGCAGCACTCCACTGATCCGAAGCCAGGAGCCAGGTGCTTCTCCTGGTCTCCCATGCGGGTGCAGGGCCCAAGCACTTGGGCCATCCTCCACTGCCTTCCCGGGCCACAGCAGAGAGCTGGCCTGGAAGAGGGCAACCAGGACAGAATCCGGCGCCCCGACCTGGACTAGAACCTGGTGTGCCTGCGCCGCAGGCAGAGGATTAGCCTAGTGAGCCACGGCACTGGCTGACTGCTTCTCTCTTAAATATTGAGGCCATGGAGAGGTCATCTTACTTACACTTTTATTTCACTTGAGGTGTCACCTCCTTTGAGAATCTACCCTTATGCCCACCCTACCCTCAATGATCCCAGAGGCTAAATTCTAGGAGCTCAGGTCATTCCAAGTGACCCTCACAGGGGCACCACTGCAGCTAATCATGGAGTTCACCCTCTACCCCCACCCCGACTCTGAGCTCTCCAAGATACAAACTAGGTATACACAAGCATTCCATTCATCTCTATGGACACAGATGGTTTATTTGTAGTAATGATGTTGAAATTTTAAAGCACAGAATTTAAGAGCCAAAAGGAATCTCAGATCCCAATGATTCCAACCCTCCTGTCGTTTGGGGAATTTTGAACAGGTTGCTCCCAATCAAGAGAAAAGCCAGGACCTGAAACCACACTTTCAGACTCTAACAATCTGTCCCCACATACCATGCTACCCAGTCCTTTGCAAATTCACAGGAATCAACAAGGGGATCTGAAATTTAGTTCAATCCCCGTCTACTTCCACTGCTCGGGAATCGAAGAATCACCACTGGAGGAGATGAAGGGCCGTTCTAGCAATTACACGATTCACAGCAGAGCTGGGACAAAAACTCGGCTCTAACTTGAGGGTCAGTGTTCTTCCCACTCCATCACAATGACTCAACTATCATGGGCAGGTAGTGGGTGGACAGAAAAAGGTCAGCATGGCCCAGGGGCCTGCAGCTGCCTGTCTGCGAGCTGAGAATGCAAGCTAAGAATGGTTCTTACATTTTAAAATGGTTGAAAAAAATCAAAATAATATTCTGAGAAAGGCAAGAAACTCAAATTACAGCATCCATTAATGAAGTTTTATTGGAATGCAGCCATGATCATTTGTTTAGGCATTGCTCATGGCTGCTTTGGAGTAAGAATGGCAGTGCTGAGTAGTGGTGAGCAACAGCTCAAAAAACAAAGCCTCAAATATTTACTCTCTGCTCCTTTACAGAAAAAGTTGGCCAGTCTCTGTTGGAGGAGGAATAAGCCCTCTAAGACATCAGAAGAAAGTTAACTTCTACAACCACCCCTCTCCATGGCACTCTGTTTAGAAAAACAAAAGGTTTGGACAGCACATCTTCATTCCATCACATCTTTTTAAAGATTTATTTTTATTTATTTGAAAGGCAGAGTTACAGAAAAAGAGATCGAGAGAGAGAGAGAGAGAGAGAGAGAGAGAGAGAGAGAGATTGAGAGAGAGATCGAGATCGAGAGCGAGAGAGATCTTCCATTCGCTGGTTCACTCCCCAAACAACCACAGCTTGAGCTGATCCGAAGCCAGGAGATTCTTCTGGGTCTCCCACTTGGGTGCAGGGGCCCAAGCACTTAGTTCATCTTCCACTGCTTTCCCAGGCCACAGCAGAGAGCTGGATTGGAAGAGGAGCAGCCAAGACATGATCTGGTATCCATTTAGGATGCTGGTGCTGCAGGCCAGGGCTTTTAACCACTGTGCTACAGCACCGGCCCCCATTCCATCACATCTTAATGCTGAATGAGAAGGCAGAGTCCACGTCATCCAGAAGTGCAGGAATTAAAGAGGCTTCCCCAGGTTGCAAAATGCAGTGGGTGATACACAGCTGGCCCCAGTCCAGGGTCTTCCCAAGAACACCCTGAGCCACCCCTCTATTCCACCCTGCACCAGCACCTGCTTGCAAGATGGGCAGCTTCCCTTGATTCTCACAGTGAATCAGCCCTTCCAACTGGAGGCAGCAACGGGGCAGGTGTCTGGCATAGTAACTAGGGCACTGCTTGGGAAGCCCACATCCCGCATCAAAGTGCCTAGGTTTGAATGCCAGCTCTGCTCTCAATTCCAGCTTCCTGTTAACGGGGACCCTGCAGGGCAGCAGGTGATGGCTCTGGCAGTTGGGTTCCTGTCACCCTAGTGGAAGACTTGCATTGAGTTCCTGGTTCCTGCTCTAGCTGTTGCAGGCATCTGTGGAGTAAACCAGTGGATAGACGATCTGCCCCGCCACCTCCCCTCCACCCCCGCACCTTGCCTTTCAGATCAAATAAGTAAATAAATTAATCTTTAAAAATTAACTGGAGGCAGCAAGAGCCAAGCACGACTTTTCAGGGTCAGCCACCTGAAGTGGAATCCTGCACTGACCACTTCCTGCCCATGAACACCAGAACCAGTTATAGGCCCCTGGGTTTTCTACCCTAGCAAGGACGGTAAGTTCTCCCTTCACAGGCCAGCTTGGAGAAGTAAACCAGATAGAGCTCGCTCGAATCTTTCCCTCTCCCTTCCCGGCAGCAGTATTCGGAGCAGCACAGAAAGCAAGCCTTGTGAGTGAAGTTTCTTTCATATTAGAGATTAAGATAATTTTTTCTAGAGCCCTAGGGGGAAAATACCCAATTTATCAGCTCAAGAAAGAGACTCAAGTATTTAGACGGCCATTTTCCCCTCAAATCTTTCGATTCATTGACATTTCATTCACTTTATAATCCAAAGGTGAGTGGGTGAGTGTCGTCGTAATGTTTAGAAAAGTTATGTTTGCATAATTTTTATAGCAAGCCACCCAAAGAACCAAGCTGTTCTGTACTCACATTCAGTTATAAAAACCAAGACTGTAAAAAAATTAAAAAAAAAAAAAAACAGAATCAGAAAGTCCGAGTTATATTTAGTCCGACTTCCTTAACACGAAGTTCTTCTCAAAATATTCAGCTTTGGCTAAATCCCAAAACTGACCTAAGCCTACTTCAGGTGTTTTGGAAAGACTGAAGAGAATCTTAAAACAAAGATTTGAATATAAAACCTTGCATGTGATCTCAGATGCAAGCAGCTCACTGTTTTGCAATCATGAACGCAAAATTTTCACCCACAATTACAAAAATAAACGTGTACTCGTATATATTCAACGCTGGATTACACGGTACTAACAATTAACTCCAAGAACGCATTATCATTCCCAACATTTGTTAATAGCTAATTGCTTCAGTTACTGGAACTGCTTAGCACTTTCTGAAATCTGTGATAGGTTGAAAAGATACATTTTTCTTTCATGGATCATGTTGGCAGTCCCTTCAGTGGGCAAGCTCATCTTAGTCATTAAGACAGTGTACCAGCGTTTGAAGCAATGTTAAATTATAAACTTTCCAGCCCACCGAAGTATATAAAACGGGTTCTTTGACCGAGATCCTAACAAAGATATCAAAATTATTTAGTGCAAGTTGAAATGCTGTTGTTTTCAGAAGTAATTACTGGAAAGTTCAAGTTGGTACGGGACGGGAAACTGAAGCCACTGAAGGTACAGAGAACCACACACGTGTGCAGCTGGCTGGGTGGCCCAAGCCCCAACACGACACGGAGCACCGAACAGCCACAGGTCCGTGCAGTAGAAAAACAAACCAAACCCCAGAGAAGTGAAACCGAGACGCTGAGAGGAACGCACAAGGACCGCGCGCGGCGAGTCCCTCCTGGGGCTGAAGAACCGAGGTCCTTCAAAGCCATCACAGCGGCGGGCGGACCCCGCGCAGGTCCCCGCACCAACGCGAACGCCACGGCGCAGTCACGCCGCCCAAGGTGCGGCCAGAAGTTAGGAGGGAGCATGCTTCCTGCCCAGAAAAAAAAAAAAATTAAAAATCACCCCCCTCCAACACACACACACACACACACACACACCCCCGAGACGACCAGGGACGCCGTGGCCCCCGACCGCCGAGGGTGCGCGAAGGCCGACACACACGCACCTGCATTGTAAAACCGGTCCAGCACCGCCGTCTCCCCGAAGTCCAGTTTGCCAAAATGCAGCGTCTCCAGGGTGGCGCCCACCGCCTCGCACGCCTCCCGCAGGCTCTGCAGGGCCTCGCTCTCCGCCACCACCAGCTGCCCCTGGCTCGCTTCGTTGATCACGTACGCCACCGTGGTCCGCCGGCCGGCCACGCTCCCAGAGCTGCCGCGGCACCGCGAGGCGCCGCTCCCGGGGGCGGCTGCGGGACACGCGGCGCTGCCCGGGGCGCCGGCGCTCTCCACGTTCCAGAAGCTGCCCGCCGGCGGCGGCGGAATTGGCTTCTCCTCGCCCTCGGCCACCGCCGCGGCTCCCCTCCGGCAGCTGCCGCCCTCAGGGAAGGAGCCGAAGCCCGAGGCGGCGAAGGGCGGCACGGAGAAAGTGATGCCCTCGCCGGCGTCGGCGCTCATCTCTCCCGGCCGGGCTGCGGCGGCGTCGCCCGTCCAGCCGTACCGTCGGGCCAGCCACAGCTCGGGGCTGCTCCGCGCCCGCCGGGCTAGGCAGCTGCCATCGCGCGCCGCGCCCTCGCCGCCGCGCCGCCGCCTCCTCTCCGGCGCCCTCTCGCCTGAGGGCCCGCCGCTGCCCGGCGGCGGCTCGCCCCTCCTCGGCGCCTCCGTGGCCGCGCCGCTCGCCCGCCGCAGGGTTTAGAGTACAAGGGGTGGGGACCCGGGGTGAGCGGGAAGGGACAGCGCTTCCTTCTCCTGGCGGGCGGGCGAGTCGGTGGCAAACCTGCGCCGCGCTGTGGCTCAAGGGCGCCGCGCTCGGGGTGCCGCGCGCCCTCGCAGCCGGAGCGCGGCCCGCTCCTTCCGTGCGAGGCGCTCAGGGAGGGGTCGGAGAGGGAGTCCTTTGGGTGGGGAGCTACCTGGCGAGCACCTGACGGGCGGGCAGGCTCCCAGGGCCGCGCGCGTCCCGGAACCGCACGAGCTGCAACCGAAAGGACCCGCCTCCCCGCTCGGCGGCAGCGCCCCTTCGCCGGCCTCGGCGCTTCTCCGAACGCCGCGGCCGCGGTCCCAGCGCCCGGCTCCTCACTGGAGCCTCGCCGCTCCTCGCAGCCGCGCGCCTATCCTGGCCACCCACTTCAAGCCGCCCACTCGTCGCGGCACCGAGTCAGGGCCCGCCCCGCGGGGAGGGCGCTGCTGGGAAGCCCGAACCGGGACGGAACCGACCGCTCCGCGGCTCCGGGACCTCAGCCCTGCCACGAGCGTAACGCGTGCTCTAAGGGTTCCCCGCCGCCACGCCACGCCACGCCACGCCGCCGGCCCCCACCTAAGAGGACGCGGAGCGGGCAAAACCGCGCGCGACTACTGGATGGTGCAAAAGTCCGCGGAGCCAGCTGGGAGCCATTGGCTGCGTTCCCCGCGGCCACGGCGCCCCCCTCTGGCTCCTCGCCGGCGCGCCCGGCTGCGTGAGCGGGGGCCACGCGGGGCGCTGGAGGGACCCGGGCGTCGGCGGGAGGCGCACGTGGCGCTCGGCTGGGGGCCCGGCCTAGGCTGGAGCGCGGCTCGTTTGCGGCGAGGGCGCCCCCGGAAGTTCATTGGAAAATTCCGCGGAGCCTGTGCGGTTATCCTTGATGAGCGATTGATTACCTCCACTTCTGAGCGATGTAGCACACACGTTCAAGGGCCTTAAATTTTCGCCCACGTGCATCATATACTTAAGATAGAAGACGAGGTCTTTTAGGAGGGTACTTGTAGAGGTTCTTGAAAAAAGCGGAATTAAAAGAGGTTTATTTTGGGGCCTGGCGCTTTGGTACAGAGAGTTAAGCCGCAGCCTGTGTCGCCAGGAGTCTCGTGGGGGCGCCCAATGGAGTCCCTCCTGCTCCACTTCCGATTCAGCTCCCTGCTAGTGTGCCTGGAAAAGCAGCTAAGGATTCCCCAAGTTCTTAGGCCCCTGCACCCACGTAGGGGTCCCGGATGGAGCTCCTGCTCCTGGCTTTAGCCTGGCCCAGCCTAGGGCTATTGTGGCCATTTGGGGAGTGAACCAGCCCATGGAAGAGTTCCCTCTTCCTCTGTGTAACTGCGGAAACAGATGATACATACATGGATGGATAATTTTTTTAAAAGTTTATTTTTGGTGCGAAACTTTGAAAGATCCCACAAGGAAGCTTCAAAAACTTCATGGAAAATGCACACTGGGAAAAAATGTGTGTATATAAAAGGATAGAAGCAAATTTAAGGAAACTTAATATTCTTCATGTGAAGTAATGATCATACTACAGCGAATCAGTGATCATACCGAGGCACAAGTTGATGGGCTACTAAGAGATAATTCTGATACTTTCAACAACTTCCGAACCAAAGTACAGAATCCTCCACCCAGCCTGGCCAAGAACACTGAACACTGGAAATCCATAAGGATTATGTCTGTAAAACCAAGATGCCTAATTTCTCAAGTAGCATTTTGCTACACAAAGTACAATCTAATGTATAAAACTATTTTTTAAAAACCATACTCTTTATTTTAAGATTTATTTGAGAGGTAGAGTTACAGACAGAGAGAGACACAGATAAGTTTTCCATCCACTGGTTCACTCCTCAAATGACTGCAATGGCCAGAGCTGGGGCAATCCAAAGCCAAGAGCCAGGAGATCCTTCCGGGTCTCCCACTGGGTGCAGGGGCCCAGACACTTGGGTCATCTTCAACTGTTTTCCCAGGCCATAGTAGAGAGCCGGATCAGAAGGGGCACAATGCCACAGCATCGGCTCCCCAAAAAACTGTAATCTTAAAGACTGTCTCACCTTTTCTTTTCTTCCAGATCTTTTCAGAGACACTTTTAATGTTCAGTTTTTGTTTTTTGTTTCTTTGTTTTGCTTGGCTGGCTTTTCTTTTAGTTTAAATCAATTCAACTATTTTAAAGTTTGTTGATTTCAAGCACCCAGATTCCAGTGCAGTGCTGAAATGCTGCTCCTAGTTACTGGTCCTGAGAGTCTCCCTCAATCTAATCATGATGTTTAGCTCATTCTGACACGGCAGGGAAGAGCATTTGAATGGAACCCTATGACCTGTCCATTTTTATAGCTGATAAGCCGGAGAACATGCACACGTTCATCTGGTTCAATCCTGGGTATGTCAATAGGTAGGAGTACCAGGTGGAGCCAAGTGTAGTGATGATACCCAGCCTGCCCTTAGCTGGCCACACTGTCAGGAGGAATGAACGCTTTTTCCTGATTAGATGTACATTTTTGCAATTTTTCTAAATAGAAGCAACACCTTTTTCTAATCCCAAAGCACATCTTACATGATAGTGGTGGACATGAGCAAGATTACTGCCTATCTTGGACTTCCAGGTTTATTCTTGAAGAGGCAAATTTCAGTTGCTCTGGAATGAGCAAAGGTCTTCTAGCTAGCTGTTGTTTTTGTGTGTGTGACAAATTTACCTCTTTCTTTGTATTCTCAGATAAGTGGCAATACACTATACTGTTTAATTCCAAAAAGGCTATTGAAGGCTGTAAACAAAACAAGGTAAGTATACTTTTAAATTAAAACACAAGGAAGTCAATAAAAGTAATATGTAGCACATGAGATAAATTGATAAATTTATTGATTGCTAAATTTGTTTGTTTTGGCTGCCAATGTGAAGAGAATATATGTGAAATTATATATATTTATATAAGGACTCACATTTTTTTCCTGGCATTGAATTCTATAAAGAACTGATTATATATAATCTGATGCAGGGGATATTGAACAAAGCAATGTAATTGAATATGGATTTATTAAAAATTTATATGTGTCTGCAGTTTTAGTTCAGATATTTCAAAAGCCAAAAATATAACATTAAATACCAATTTAACGAAGGAATTTTGGAATAAATCTAAAATAATATAAACCAGATATAATGCTCTCTGGTCATATTAACTTAATAAATGTGAAGGACCTTGGAGATACTTCTCATTGAAAAGTTACAATCTCATTCCACATTGGCCAGAAACAAGGAACACAAGGAAGCAGTGAGGATCTTACCACAAATAGCAGATTTCTCTAATGGCTTTTGACAAGGTTAAATGATAGAATTGTCATTAGATTCTCTGACATCTTTATTCTTTAGAGAGGCATGACCTCAGATCTGAAATTTTCTGAGCAGGGTGCATCCCACTTCCTCTTGGAGATGGACCTTGAGATGCCTCTAAGAACACCTGCAGGTAGGGCAAAAGAGTTTTCCCACAAGGAGATGGAGAAAAATGAGGGAGAGATTTCTACCTCTGACTATGACAGACTAGAACATTCTGATCAATCCTCTCATTGACAAAGACTAAGAATGCTGCACAAAATTTTAAGTATATATATTATATATATGTGTGTGTATATATATATATATATATCTCTCCGAGAGCTAATGACATAATAGGAAGCTATCTGACAAGATTCTGGAAGAAAAACCAGGAATCCAGAGGCTGAGCCAGCAGTCAGGGTTGACTATGGCCTGGGAATTTTTTGCAGATGTAACTTAGGCACCTGAGAGGCTAAAATGAATTATTGACATCTTGAAGAAGGAAAGAATGATATACTGTAGAAGTAGGAGGGAATGTTAGGTAAGATGATGTAGGCAGCAACTTTGCCTCTAGATTTCTGAGTTACCTATTCAGTCTCAACCCTGAATAAGGATTAAGGAAATTTCGGAAGTAAAAACAAGCAAAACTTACACTAGAGGAAGACAACATCATCGCAGGCCATGTGTTATTTCTACATCTGTAAGGTCTGTAAAAGTAAGCAAGCATTTTAATGTGTGGTGGAATTGTGTAGCAGCAGCAAGAATACCATTCAAATCCTGACTTTGCCCTCTGTTCTTGAGTTTTTCCCTCTAGACCCATTCTCCATTCATATCCACCTGAATCTGTCTCAGCAGGCGAATGTGCATGAATTAGGTCAATGGCTTCCTTCCTTGCTGCTTACTAGCTGAGTCTGAGTTCAGGCAGGGGACTGACAAGAGGACCTCCCTCTGCCTGGCTCCCTCTGTCAGTCACCACAAGCTGACTGTGTTCTTCAACAGAAAGGCAATTTTCTCAAGGTGGCAGATCCTGCAGGACTGATTTTCCTGCAGTTTCAGAACCATCCTTTGCCTTCTCTGGCACCTAAGCAGGACAGCTGTGAACCTGCTGGCCCCAAGTTCCGGCAGAGTCCCCTGAAGCTTCCTTCTACCCCATCCACACCATGCAATTAGTCTTTTTATAAATAAACTCACTTCAAATTATCCTACTGTTTCTTGTTGGATTCTGATAACTACCAAAGAGCTTTTAGAATTAGAAAATGAATTTCACCTCTCTGCATCTATTTGTGCAACCATAGAGTGTTTAATTAGATTAAACTGAAAATTCTTTGATACAGCGATGTGGTATGTTTGAGTACTCTCCAAACAGTAGAGGCCTGAAAAAAACACAAATGAAAGATCCTGAAGAGCCCATCAGCAGATCAAGTTCTGCATGACCCCTGAAGCTGATGCAAAGTTCATTTTCTCGTAATGACAAGACCAAATGTGTCTTGGGGCCATTTCCAGCTGAAAAATAGCAACATTAAGGACCTATCACTGTATGAGCTATTTCTATGCGTATCTCAAATCTCCCATAAGAGTCCAGGAGAGCA